AAAAAAAAAAAAAAAAAAGAAAAGAAAAGAAAAAAATGAATTATGCTTAAATAAAAAGGTCTTGGGGCGCCTGGATGGTTCAGCTGGTTAAGTGTCTGACTCCGGTTCAGGTCATGAACCCGCGGGTCATGAGTTCAAGCCCCGCACCAGGCTCTGCGCTGACGGCTCAGAGTCTGGAACCTGCTTCAGATACTTCTGCCCCTCCCCCACTTGCGCTCTGTCTCTCTTTCTCTCTCTCTCTCTCAGAAATAAATAAAAAGGTCTTGAGAGGCCTGGCTGGCCCAGTCGGTAGAGCGTGTGACTCTTCTTGGGGTCGTGAGTTCGAGCCTCACGTTGGGTGTAGTGATTATGAATAAATAAACTTTAAAAAAAAATGTATTGGGGCACCTGGGTGGCTCAGTCAGTTCACCATACGACTCTTGGTTTCGGCTCAGGTAGTGATCTCATGGTCATGAGAACGAGCCCTGAGTCGGGCTCTGCACTTACGTTGCGGCCAGGAACCTGCTTGGGAGTGTCTGTACGCGTCCCCCAACCACTGCCCCTCCCCCACTCATGCTCTGTCTCTCTCTCAAAAATAAACATTAAGGGGCGCCTGGGTGGCTCAGTCGGTTAAGCGTCCGACTTCAGCTCAGGTCATGATCTCACGGTTCGTGAGTTCGAGCCCCGCATCGGGCTCTGTACTGACAGTGCAGAGCCTGGAGCCTGCTTCGGACTCTGTGGTCTTCCTCTCTCTCTGCCCCTCCCCCATTCATGCTCTGTCTCTCTCTCAAAAATAAATAAACATTAAAAAAACACTTTATAAAAAAATAATAAACACAAAAAAATTTTTCTTAAAGAAAAAGAAAAATATTTTCAAACTTGAAAAAATATCCATGTTTAACAGCTTTCCCCTCAACTAAATTCTTTGCCCCTCAAGACAGAGGTAGAGGCGGGGCCGAGGGCAAATTTGGGGGTGTAACAAGACCACCCCCCAAATTCTGAATAACAGGAGACACAGCCTTTGCTGTGCAAATACAAGTTCAAGACAAGCTCCCTGACTTCCCACCCCAACCAATGCAGCCCCTGAGGCTGGATTTTGCAGACTCCGGACCCTCCCAGGAAGGAACCCGGTGTGGGATATTCTCTGCTGTATCCTCAACCGCTACCATGCAGTAGGTGTTCAATCCATGTTTCCTGCTCCTGGCACACAGTAGGTGCTTGATAAATGCTCTTCTGGTCTGGCACATAGTAGGTGCTTGATAAAAATTGGCTAGGCCCAGCAAATATGTGTACTCAATAAATGTTTGCTAGGCCTGACACACGGTGGGTGATCGATAAATACATGAGGGGCCCAGCACACAGTAGGTGCCTAATAAATGTCTGGTGGCTACATGAACTCAAGCAGTGCCCCTGCCCCCACTTCAGAGGGCCATGGCTCTCCCATGGGTGGTATACACCGGGCTGTTCGGGAGAAGACAAGCGTCCTCAGGGAGGGGATCAGGTTCAACTCACCAATGTACTCCTCCACTTGGACGTAGCCATCTTTGTTCTTGTCCAGATCTTCCAAGGTTTCCTGGGGAGAGAGGCATTGGGTCAGGCTCTGGGGGAGGGATGTGAGGTTCTCTCCGGGAATTCTGGCTCGGCTGTGCGGCCAGGCATCAGAGCAGTCTCGGCACGGTCTACCCGGCCGGGGCTTGGGTGGCTTTCTGGGGTGCCCAGTGATGCAGGCCCTACCTGGGGTGGGGGGGGGG